GAGATGACTTCTGCCGCAAACGCGAGCACGATATAGAGGAAGGGCTGCGCTGCAAAGCGACGCCCCAAAGTGGCCCGCGGACTCCCAAGCTGCTCCCTCAGAGGCTCCCGGCCTAACAGAGCCAAACGGGGGTCCCACATCAGTCCTAATATGACTCCGCCTCGGGGGCCAGTGGCAGGGGGCGCAGCCTTTCAAACGTCACGATTTTCGCTTGGTGGGATCTGTGAGTTAAAACCCCAAACTCTCGCACTTACATTGGCGAAATCTTCCACCGACAATGAATGATACGTCCGACACGCTGACACCCTAGCATCATCATTGCCAATCTCTCCGCTGAAACTAGCTCGAACTTCGATCTCCCTTGCCGTGCTCATCGTTCGCGCCCTCTGGTTTTGGGACATATGTAACACCTGCGGGTATGGTCGTGAAAGTCCCGGAAAAGCGCGGACCAAAACATCCTTCTTATACATGCCGATACCTTTGCCCATGAAGTCAAACATGCCAGGAACCCGCCCCCCTCGACTGTGCAGGTCAAGGTCGCCGGTCCTACTTTCGAAAGGCGCAAGTTCAACATTCAACGGCTTGGGTGTTTGCTCCATGGAAAAACCATCGTTGAACTCCCTCCCCCAATAAGCTCCGCGCTGGATCCCTGAATCTGATTGAACACCGTATCTATCCATGGGCGTCCTAAAACCCACAGCAACTATCAGAACCGCTAGATGAATGGAACAATAATCTGGAAAATACTCTGCGCTGTAGAGGGATGTTTCTTCGGGTCTCCAAGGCCCCGTGGACGAGACCCCATCTACAATTGTTTGAACCCGAAATTTTCAGATCAAATGCGACATGGAGGCAAGGCCCAAACTCATCCAGTGACGAAGTCCAGCCCTGCAAAATGTGTAAGGATTCTTGCGAATAAGAAGCCGCCTGTGCGGCATGCCATCTGCGCTAGTCCAACTCTTCTCAATCCAGCTGCAAGCCTCGATGAAATTTTACGACGGGCAACATCGCAGACAATAACACAACGCAAGTGAGGAACGTCTTCCTGGTTTCGACGAGGATCCGTAGACGCGTTCCCGACCGCCGACCGCCTAGAGAAAGAGCCAACGATCTTCACAGATCCCTCTAAATGCCCCACCGCCGAAATAAATGTACGTGCTCTTACAAAGAATGTCCACGGATGTGGCAACACACACTTTCCGACTATGGAGCTAAAGTCTGCCTCATGGTCGCAAATGTTCGTAATCATGAGCACTGCGCTGCTAGATCTGCAATGGGTTCTCAATACTTCTCGTCGTGATATAATCTATGCTGTCGCTGAAATCTCTTTGCGCAACATCAACACCTTTTCATCTAACCCATCTGGTTGCAAAAACAATGTGATAATTGCAACAAGCATCGTGGCATTACCGTGTACTTTTGCCTGGCCGATTGTGTCTAATTTTCTCGGGGAGTCCCCTGCGCCCCCCCCCCCAAACAGGCCATCACATCAGAGCTTGGACGTGCCGCGCGACCGTGGGATAACAACCCAAAGGTAGCAAGCCGCCTAAGAAAAAAACTCTGTAGCGCTGGTGTACCGCACGGCCTTTGGGAGTCGCTCAGAGCTGATAGATCGGGGAGACGTAGTTAAGACTCGGGTTCGGGGGACTCGGGTTGGCCTGACGGGGCCATCATGAATTTTGTCACGAACTCCCGCTGCAAACATCCCACGAAACTGGGCCGTCAAAATCCAGGACGTGCTTGTCAAAAAGCATCGGTTAACCCGAGTTCAGCCGTACTCGAGTCTTACGTTTCCCAAAATAGATCGTTCGAGAACTCATGTTCTGGAACGTCTGTGCGCCGCGCGCCACTGCAACTGTCGCTCCCGCCGCGCCGCCATCTCCGCCAACTCCTCCAGCCTTGAAAACTATCGTGGTTATCCTACCTGCGGCTCAAGGAAACTGCCGCTGGTGGCCTCGCTGATGCCTCGGAACAATTTGCGAGCGTTGGCACGATCGCTGTTCTCAGACGCGCCGGGGAGCAATTCACCGGCCCAGCGAGCGAAAGGCGTGCGACGAGGTTCAGAGCATTTGTGTTCATACGTTCGCGCACGCGTTGCAGCCCCTGGGCCTCAACATCTAACCGGTATGGTCGGATCAGACATGGATTCTCTCCGGGATGCGGCCCTCATGACCCCCAGAATAGCAACAAGGGAGCCAGAAGAGGACCCAGGAGCAGCACAATAGCAGGGACCAACGAGTGGTAGGTCCCAATGGGGCCCCGAAACAGCCGCAAGAGGCTTTAATCTAGCCACAGGGTGGACTAAGATTGACAGCTCCATGAGACCACCCAACGGCCCCCACGAGGCCAGCATATTGCAACAAGCAGAATGTGCTCCTCGCCTTGTCGCTCTCAGTGCGCTTCCGAGGCCTCAGGATGGCTCCCGACTCGCCCAAGATGACTCATGAAGGAACCCAGAAGGGCTCCGCACGAGGGGCCCAAGAGCGGTGACAGATCTCTGGGGGGCCTCAATCTGGCCCGAGAGAAGCCCCAAGAGGCCCCACGATGTCCCCGAGGTGGCCCGGCCAAGACAGTCACAGGCAGCCCTCGAGAGGCCCGCAGCTGCAACCAACATGCCCAAATCCTCCTAACTAGACATATAATTCTCAGTGGTGCTGGCTTCCAACATTTCCGCTTCGAGTGCGCTCCCGAGGCCTCGATCTGGTTCCCAACTCGCCGAAGATAACCCTAAATGGAGCCCAAACGCTTTCCAAGATGGCTCCGAATATTTCCAAAAGCGCCCCAGGAATGCCCAATGAGGGCTCCAACATCAGCCCAAAGGCGAGGACCAATAGGAGGTCACAGGACCCAAACTGGCACTGACACAACATCGATATGTCCAGAGATAGACCCCAAGGGCCAAGGTGGTCCAACATGGTCCAGGACAGCCCCCACGCGGCACTGAGAACCCCCTGAGAGACGTCCAGGAATCCACCACACACCGCCCAGAGACTCTCAAGAGTCCCCTAATATGCTCCGACCGTGCACGAAGGGTCTCAACAAAAACAAAACACAAACGTCACCATATTTTCCTTGATGACTGCCCTCTCGTCCTTTCGGACTTGGGCGGTGAAACTTTGGCGGAGACCTGCTCTTCTCAATGCCGCCCTTCACCTGCCTAACAACTCACCACCGTCTCACCCCCCGCGAACAAACAATCAAGTGCCAATGATGATACAATATGGGCCGGCGGAATGAGCGAAGCGACCGCATAATGTTGCATGCACAGGTACGCCCGTCGAAAGAGGCAAACAACTCACGTGTATACAGCCTGCATTCGGCATTCCATCACTGAGCAAATGTATGGACTCCACACCGTCCATATCCATTCCTTGCTGCAGAGCCTTCTCGATATTTGTTTGCCCACTCGCTGTGAGGTCTGTGATCCATGCCACAGCTGCTGCAATGTTGCTTTCGGAAGCCTGCATCCATCCACCTGGCAATGATTTCACGTAAGTGTTGAAAGCCAAGACGGTAAAGTTGTGGTCCTTGTCAATAGTTCTCAAAACGGCGGCCAACTCTGACTTCATAAGTCCAAATCGCGTCAAGGCGCTCTTTCCTGGAATCAGCGTATCCATAGAGCCAGAGACATCCACGATGAAGACGATACGCTTCGAATCGCCGACAGGACTGAAGAGCTGCTCCGTGCAACCTGACGTGCTCCGCCAGACGTTCTCCATGCAAGTGAACGAATCCATAATGCCCGATCCGTCATCGTCTTGCGAGCGAGCCATCAAAAAACATGCAACCAAGGAAGCCGATACGTTGATGTCAAAACGACTCTTCTTGCATATCGACTCAACGACATTCGCCCCGATAGACATGTTGTACAGAAGTCTCTGCGTATCCTTCACGCACTCCTGCCGCTTACGTATGAATGCAAGATCCACCATCGTGTCCCTTGGCACGTTGGAGCGTTGTAGGATGTTAAATGTTATCTTGTAGAGTTCTGGTGGTAATCTAGATGACCTTCTACTAAGGCCCCCTCCTCTCCGAAAATCCGACTGCGTGCGCCGGCCCTGTGCGCACCGACGCCTTTCTGGCGCTCTCCACGGCTCCCAGGGTGACCAAGACGGATTTCAAGACTGCCAAGGCAGGCCGCCAAGATGGGCCCCCAAGACGGCGCAGATGGCTTTAAGAGAATCACCACGAGGGCTCGAAGATGCCATCATTACGATTGTTCGACCTTCGGTGTTTCAATGATTTTCGCGTTCTCACCTTTTTCCAGCGTCCGTCGGCCAGAGACGGCCGAAAGTGCCTCCAAGCTGGCTCCAAGACGGCCCAAGAAATCCCCTGGAGGGCCTCAAGACGGCCCTTGACGCTCTTAAAATGGCCGGAGGGGCATCCGATACGGCCCAAGAACCCCCCAACACATCTCAAGAGACCTCCAAGAGACCCTTCAGGGCCCCAAGAGCTCCCCACGGCGGCCCAGAAGAGCCCCCAAGACAGACTCCGAAAACGCCCGACTTCCAAAGAGCGCCCGGAGACTTTAAAATGCTTCCAGGACGCCCCACGACAGGAGGAAATAATAGGAATGGGGGGAAGCGGCGACGAATGCGAGGAGGGGCACTCCCGCACGAAGCGGGGTATCGTGTAACATGTTGAGGATATCCCACTCCTCGGGACACGAGGTGTCACGTGCTACAGCTTCCTGTGCCTTCCTGTGCGCTCGCTGAATACTTGACACCAAGAGTGGTGGGCTTGCACGGTGGCGAGACTCGCCGCAGGCAGCTGGATGATGATCGCATTGTGCCTCTGCTGCGCCCGTCTCTTTGCGCGACTCCCGGACGGAGCGTACCACGCAATCCGCATACTGCAGAGTCGGATTCGTGTCGAAACCAGTCTTTTTGCAAAGCTCGATGGCCTTCGCGACGGATGGAGACTTTTCCCAGTCCAAGCCATCACGACTATAGAAAGGATGGTAGACACTCGCCACGCAAGCCTGCTCCCGAGTCGCGGTTTCAAATTGCTGCTTCAAACAAAGGCCCACTCCATCCTCGCCAAGCCATCCCTTCACACTGGTGATGCAGTCTGTATAGTTCGAGATCACCTCAGGAGGCTCGGTAAGACAACCAGCTTTCGCAGCGTCTCCGGAAGACCACGCTCGAACCGAACATTCAGAACGCTTCAAGGCCACATCCGCGTCAAAGTCCACCGCCTTGCAGAGCTCCATGGCTTTCTTGACAGACGGTGGTTTCTCCCAGTTTAAGCCGCCCCTCCTATAGAAAGGGTAATACGATTTCTCCAGGCACGCCGCCTGCCTAGAAGCGGTCGCGAACTGTCGCTTGAGACACAGGTCAACTCCATCCTCGCCAAGCCATCCCTTCACACTGGTGATGCAGTCTGTATAGTTCGAGATCACCTCAAGAGGCTCGGTGAGACAACCAGCTTTCGCAGCGTCTCCGGAGGACCACGCTCGAACCGAACATTCAGAACGCTTCAGGGCCACATCCGCGTCGAAGTCCACCGCCTTGCAGAGCTCCTTGGCTTTCTCGACAGACGGTGGTTTCTCCCAGTTTAAGCCGTCCCTCCTATAGAAAGGGTAGTACGATTTCTCCAGGCACGCCACCTGCCTAGAAACGGTCGCGAACTGTCGCTTGAGACACAGGTCAACTCCATCCTCGCCAAGCCATCCCTTCACACTGGTGATGCAGTCTGTATAGTTCGAGATCACATCAAGAGGCTCGGTGAGACAACCAGCTTTCGCAGTGTCTCCGGAGGACCACGCTCGAACCATGCATTCAGAACGCTTCAAGGCCACATCCACGTCGAAGTCCGCCGCCTTGCAGAGCTCCACGGCTTTCTTGACAGACGGTGGTTTCTCCCAGTTTAAGCCGTCCCTCCTGTAGAAAGGGTAGCGCGATTTCTCAAGGCACGCCACCTGCCTAGAAACGGCCGCGAACTGTCGCTTGAGACACAGGTCAACTCCATCCTCGCCAAGCCATCCCTTCACACTGGTGATGCAGTCTGTATAGTTCGAGATCACCTCAGGAGGCTCGGTAAGACAACCAGCTTTCGCAGCGTCTCCGGAAGACCACGCTCGAACCGAACATTCAGAACGCTTCAAGGCTCCATCCGCGTCGAAGTCCACCGCCTTGCAGAGCTCCATGGCTTTCTTGACAGACGGTGGTTTCTCCCAGTTTAAGCCGCCCCTCCTATAGAAAGGGTAGTGCGACTTCTCCAGGCACGCCACCTGCCTAGAAGCGGTCGCGAACTGTCGCTTGAGACACAGGTCAACTCCACCCTAGCCAAGCCATCCCTTCACACCGGTGATGCAGTCTGTATAGTTCGAGATCACCTCAAGAGGCTCGGTGAGACAACCAGCTTTCGCAGCGTCTCCGGAGGACCACGCTCGAACCAAGCACTCAGAACGCTTCAAGGCCACATCCGCGTCAAAGTCCACCGCCTTGCAGAGCTCCATGGCTTTCTTGACAGACGGTGGTTTCTCCCAGTTTAAGCCGCCCCTCCTATAGAAAGGGTAATGCGATTTCTCCAAGCACGCCACCTGCGTAGAAACGGCCGCGAACTGTCGCTTGAGACACAGGTCAACTCCATCCTCGCCAAGCCATCCCTTCACACTGGTGATGCAGTCTGTGTAGTTCGAGATCACATCAAGAGGCTCGGTGAGACAACCAGCTTTCGCAGCGTCCCCGGAGGGCCACGCTCGAACCAAGCACTCAGAACGCTTCAAGGCCACATCCGCGTCGAAGTCCACCGCCTTGCAGAGCTCCATGGCTTTCTTGACAGATGGTGGTTTCTCCAAGTTTAAACCGTCCCTCCTATAGAAAGGGTAATGCGATTTATCCAGGCACGCCACCTGCCTAGAAACGGCCGCGAACTGTCGCTTGAGACACAGGTCAACTCCATCCTCGCCAAGCCATCCCTTCACACTGGTGATGCAGTCTGTATAGTTCGAGATCACCTCAAGAGGCTCGGTGAGACAACCAGCTTTCGCAGCGTCCCCGTAGGACCACGCTCGAACTAAGCATTCAGAACGCTTCAAGGCCACATCCACGTCGAAGTCCGCCGCCTTGCAGAGCTCCATGGCTTTCTTGACAAACGGTGGTTTCTCCCAGTTTAAGCCGTCCCTCCTGTAGAAAGGGTAGTACGATTTCTCCAGGCACGCCACCTGCCTAGAAACGGCCGCGAACTGTCGCTTGAGACACAGGTCAACTCCATCCTCGCCAAGCCATCCCTTCACACTGGTGATGCAGTCTGTATAGTTCGAGATCACCTCAAGAGGCTCGGTAAGACAACCAGCTTTCGCAGCGTCTCCGGAAGACCACGCTCGAACCGAACATTCAGAACGCTTCAAGGCTCCATCCGCGTCGAAGTCCGAAGCCTTGCAGAGCTCCATGGCTTTCTTGACAGACGGTGGTTTCTCCCAGTTTAAGCCGTCCCTCCTATAGAAAGGGTAGTACGACTTCTCCAGGCACGCCGCCTGCCTAGAAGCGGTCGCGAACTGTCGCTTGAGACACAGGTCAACTCCATCCTCGCCAAGCCATCCCTTCACACTGGTGATGCAGTCTGTGTAGTTCGAGATCACCTCAAGAGGCTCGGTGAGACAACCAGCATTCGCAGCGTCTCCGGACGACCACGCTCGAACCAAGCACTCAGAACGCTTCAAGGCCACATCCGCGTCAAAGTCCACCGCCTTGCAGAACTCCGTGGCTTTCTTGACAGACGGTGGTTTCTCCCAGTTTAAGCCGTCCCTCCTATAGAAAGGCTAGTACGACTTCTCCAGGCACGCCGCCTGCCTAGAAGCGGTCGCGAACTGTCGCTTGAGACACAGGTCAACTCCATCCTCGCCAAGCCATCCCTTCACACTGGTGATGCAGTCTGTGTAGTTCGAGATCACCTCAAGAGGCTCGGTGAGACAACCAGCTTTCGCAGCGTCTCCGGAGGACCACGCTCGAACCAAGCACTCAGAACGCTTCAAGGCCACATCCGCGTCAAAGTCCACCGCCTTGCAGAGCTCCATGGCTTTCTTGACAAACGGTGGTTTCTCCCAGTTTAAGCCGTCCCTCCTATAGAAAGGGTAGTACGACTTCTCCAGGCACGCCACCTGCCTAGAAACGGCCGCGAACTGTCGCTTGAGACACAGGTCAACTCCATCCTCGCCAAGCCATCCCTTCACACTGGTGATGCAGTCTGTATAGTTCGAGATCACCTCAAGAGGCTCGGTGAGACAACCAGCTTTCGCAGCGTCCCCGGAGGACCACGCTCGAACCAAGCATTCAGAACGCTTCACGCTCCATCCACGTCGAAGTCCGCCGCCTTGCAGAGCTCCATGGCTTTCTTGACAGACGGTGGTTTCTCCCAGTTTAAGCCGTCCCTCCTGTAGAAAGGGTAGTAAGACTTCTCCACGCAAACCACCTGCTGAAGAATCTCGGGGAACTTGTTCGCTCCGCACAACTGTGCGCCGTCATCTGGAAGCCAGCCCCTTGCCATCTTTAGGCGCGACTGCTCGTCTGTTGGAGCCTGGGGTGCTCCCTCCGGAAAGGACTTCGTAACCCTGGCAAGCTGGGCCAGCGTTGGGAACAACAGGATACAGACACCTTTTAGCGACATCGGGAATGATATGGGCTCGAAAGGAATTTACAAATCAACGACACCTCGGGCGATGAATCACGCCCCAGACGATTAAGCTTGAACTCAAATGGGTACTGACGTAGCTCTCATCGATGCGCCGCGCACCCATGAAAGTTGCGATGCGACGTCGCGAACCGCTCCGACAAACCAATTATGCAACTTAGAAAGAACAACTTAGGTGGCCGACTGTGGACACCCTGGATCAAACACTTCCGCTTCCGCCGGCTTCCGCCGCCACGGCCCGGGGCGGTGCGAAGGCTGCACTCTGAGACCGCATGTGTGCACCAAGCGATAGATCTGAAACTTCGAATGTAGGAGAAAAGTGTCATGCTTTGTCGGGGAGCCGCACATACATACACACCAAACTCTGAAAACCTTCCTGCATAATCTGCTGACCGGCTGAGATTCGCAAGCCCGTTCCGATTGCAATCACACTATCGTGGTCACGGTCCTGCCCCCGATTGTATGCCGCGGACAGCGCAAGGCCAACGTTTTGTTGGCACGCACAGGTTACAGGGCTGCACTCAATAATCGCACCGCCCCCCAAGCACATTCTGGCAATTCGACGGCCGCAGCCGAACGCCAACTCTGGAACTTCGACCGCTGGCAGACGTCTGAAGTTTGCAATATCGCCTCATCGACTGCCTAAAAGTTGTCATGCCTCGTTATTCGAGGCAATAGGGCTGCACTGGCCACAATTTCTAGAACATACATGTTGCTGCCCCATGAATTCTGACATCTAAGAACAAGGACTCTCGAAACGACGAATGCTGCAAACATTCCGTAAATCCGATCAGTATTTTTTCTATATACAAATTCAGCGAATGCGGAACGGGTAGTTCGATGTGCGTGCTTCTATGTGCTAAGTGCGCGGTGCCGTGTATGTATGCATGTGTGTGGTTGTGTGTCGCCATTGCCGTGTGGCGTGCGCCACGCGCGTGAGATCGTAACCGTTGTGCCGCGCGCCAAGTGCGTTGTGCGTGATGCCGTGCGCAAAGGGCTCCGCGCTGTGTGAACAATGGTGCCATGTGTGGAAGTTATGTGTGGAGCACTATCGCGCAGGTGGTGCGATATTCATAATGCTGCATGCCATATGCCTAATCGTGCGCGACTTGTGCCACGTGCTGTGTGAATGGTGCCTATTGCTCGACGCCGTGTAAAGAACGACAAGTTAGTAATTCCGTATGAGCGGTGCTGTAAACCGGGTGCAGTGTTCTTTTTGCTTCTGGCCTCCACGGGGCATGCCTGGAGTCTCTTTGCAGCAGGAGCCATCCCATGTGCCCCAAATTGTTTTTTTACAACGGCTGGAGGAGCACGCAATCCAAACGCCTGTCCAATCTGTCCTGGGGCGGTCGGGGGTGCTTCTGCCATTTCTGGGGCCGCTCCCGCGCCGCGGGAGAGAGGGTGTGGGGGTGGCCAGGCCGGGGAAGGGTGGGAAAGGTGGGGTGGGGTGGGGTGGGGGTGGGGGGCGCAACCCCGCCAAGGCCGCCAAGGCGGCCCAAGAGAGCTCCTACACGCACGAAATGACGGACGAAGGGGCCCCCAAGAGGCCCCCAAAGCGCTCCTATAAGGCCCCAAGCGGCACAAATCGTTGTTTCCTTTTTTTTGTTTGCCTTTGAAGTTCTCGCCTCTTCGACCTTCCGATGTTCCAAAAGGGCACAGAAGCCTCCAACAACGCCCAAAGACAACCCCAGAGGCCCCCCAAACGCCCAGAAACGGCATGAAAGGCACCCAGAACAGTCCATCAGGGCCTTAAGACGGCCCGAAGACGGGGAACATGAACCGACTAATCAAGCCTTCCGGCAAACCTAGTTGAGGGTGGGTGGGTGGGATGATTACGCGAACACAAATTCAGCAGCGTGACTTCCTCCACGTACATTCTCTTATTTAAACAAAACAATAAAATCTACACCCGGAATGGTCACCCTCCCTGGGGATGCGAAAGACTTAAGTACGACGTTGCCCTATCGCCCATTAGAAATGTGAGCTCGTACCAACCCATCCATGCCGGTATCGCCCCCCGCCATCCATCTTACAAAAAGCACTCTGCGCGCATACTCGTTTATCAAGATCATCAATTTTCGAAAATATAACGAAATTCGCGCACGCGCGCGTCGCCGCGCGCGCATGCCGAACTCCCTCAACAACCGAATGTTGTGTACGTGCGTCAAAACCGAATGCCCCGACCAAGTCGGAACAACACGTGGATCTTCAACATTCGGTTTCAAGGAAAGGTCAGCGCGCGCGCACTGGGACAAGTCTTGAACAAACCGTTGGGTTTTCATGATTTTCATCAAAAATGCGACCACACGTGTCGACATCATCCGAATGCCCTTTAGCGCGTACTGTGCGGGATCGATCCATGTCACATGATACCACTGGGGGGGGGCAGCTCGCGCCCGTTGGCCGCGCGCGCATGTCGAAATCATTCCAGGACCTTCATCACCGACGGGTGGACACCATAGTCGTCCCCGGCGTGATCGCAGTCGGCGCCGTCGTCTGCCTCGCCGTCGTCATCGCCATCGTCGTCGATCGCATCGTTGCACTCATCGCTTCTGCCGTTGTCGACGTCGCCATGATACCGCGCCCGCCCGAATCACCGACTCGCACTGAAGTGCCCGCGCGTCAGCGCGGCCTGTGCGACGCGCTGGGAAGTCCCCATCTGTCGGCGCCACCGCGGCCGCGCGGGCCGCGCCAGGAGAGCTGGCCGCTCTGCGCGCGAGCCAGCGCGCGAGCCAGCGCGGCTGCGGCGATGCGCCAGCCGGCGCCAGGCGGGCATCAGCATTGCCGCCTCGTGTTTTTTTCCGCAAACCAAGCTGCTCGCGGGGGAGTGGGATGATTGCGCGAGCAGTGGACTTGACAATTCACCGCGAACAACAAACCGTTCTATCACATAACTAGACTGCACCAAAAGGAAGGCATAACAAATCGCCCCGGGTCAGCGGTCGCCCCGGGACCGCGCCGGTACTCCAGGTGTCTCCTGGTTGTCCCGCCGGTTGTCTGCTACGAAGTGCGCCCGAAGAGACATGCTGCATACCATGCCTGTTTTCGCGCGACCGCCTCATTCAACACGGAGTCCGCAGCAATCGCGGCGTGAGTGCGAAACTCAGTTTGCCGTTCAACCTGCGCGTCCACTGGAACAGAGCTCCCGTCACCAACGGCGCCATGTTCCACCTCGGGGCCATGTTCCTGCTGCTCTTCCTCCTCCTCCTCCCAATCTACAAACGCATCCTCCTTCCTCCCCTCCCCCCTCCACCAACTCCCGAGGAGAAACGGCCAGCCCCACCCTCTGGCACCCCCGCTACTGGCCCACACCATGCCGGCCGCAATAGCATGGGATGGAGACATAACCAATGAGGGTGCATCGGGTACCCCAGCATGGCTTGACAGGGAAGGCGATGGTCAGAACAGCAAGGGCAACCGGGATCTTAGCATTAACTTCCTGAGGTCCGCGCAGATCTCTTAGATCTGCGCTGGGCCGCCCCCCCTCCCCAGGCGCGCTTTCGCGCGCCAGGGGCGGCGCCGGAGGCGCTGCCATGGGGGGGCTGGCAGCTTGGACGCAAGAGATCTGCGCGGGCTTCCGCAAACCTTTCTGCTTGTGCGTTTGTTACTCCTCGACTCGTATGGCCTGGCAGCGACAGTAACGGCAGAGACTCCTCCTCTGAACGCTCGTTCGGGTCGACGCTGACCTGGGGCAGCCAATGCCACACCGCGAACGCTGGGCCGACCGCGCGCCTGGCCCCCAACCCTGGGTCAGCCATAGGGGGCGGGCATGGGAGGGGTGAAAGTCGGCTACCCAGACATGCGACGTCCTGATTTTTCCAGGACGGGGTCCCTGGAAGTGCCCACCCTTTCCCTGGGACCGGTTTATCCTGAGTCGTTATTTGACGCTCCCGAGGCCCGGCGAGGGCCCCCCGAGGCTGAAAATGCCAAGAACCCTCCCGTTTTTTTTGTTTTTTTTTGTTTTTTGTTACGACGCAAGCATGTCTGGGTACACACGGCCGACCCTGGAAACCCTCATCCCGTAAAGTTGGCGCCTCGCTTTTGCTTTCGCCAGCGGGCCGGGCGATCCCTCTGCTTCTGCCGGCCCTCCGCCAACTTTCCGCCGAGGCCGAAGAGGCGCCGAAGGCGAGGAGGCCCTTTTCTCCGGAGTGCGCCCCACGCCTTGGACCCCGTGACCCCTGGACGGCGGAGGGGCTCCGATGGGGGTCGGCCGACACTCGGCGGTGGACAAACCTCCCTTCAATAAACCTCCCCTCAATGAAAACGGCCTGGGACCGAAACCGACGGACCTGGACCCGCAAAAATGACGGCCGCGGCGCCCTCTCGCGAACCGAAAACGGCCAATTCGTTAATCGACGTGTCAGGGTAGGAGGTCGATCAACCTCCGAGACCCGGCGCTGAACAACGTGTTATGCGCTCCGGCTCGACCTCCCTCGTCACGGCTGCTGGGCCTGTCCTTAGTTGTTCTTAAAAACGCTGAGGGCATTTTTTGTTTTCAACTTTTGGTGTTGCGGCCAACCAAAAACAACAACAAACAACGGCAGCCCAAAACGTGCGCACAACGACGCCAGCTGGGGCCAAAACAGAAAAACAAAAAAACGGCGGCCCAAAACAGAAGACAAACGATGAGCAAAACCAGAAAAGAAAACGGCGCGGGCTTGGAGAAGCTGCCTGTCCACCACCCCCGCTGACCTCGGCCGCCCGCAGGTGCCAGGCCACAGGGCGCTGGGCTCCTTCTCCTCCTGCCGCTCCTGCTCCTCGTCCTCCCGACCCTCCTGCTCCTCCTTTCCCCCCTCCTCCTGATCCTCCGCCTCGGTCCTCCTGATCCTCCTCCTCCCTCCTCCTGGTCCTCCTCCTTTGGACGGTGGACAGATGGCAGTAGGAACCCGCGGATGTTCCTGAAGATGGTTGGGGGGAGGGAGGAGGCTCTCGAGACGCGCGCCTTAGAGGAGAGGAGGCGGGGAGATGCGTCGTTCGGGCTCCTCAGTTTTCTTTCGGAGGCAAGGGCGAAAGAGGGCCCCAAGACGACTTCAAGAAAGCCCCAAGATGCCCCAGAATCGGTCACACAAGAGAGAGTCTTCGCGTGGCCGCTCTTGGGGCCCTCTTGGAGCCGTCTTGGGGCCCTCGTGGAGCCGTCTGAGGGCCCTCGGAATGGCACCAGATCTACGCTCTAGATCTTCGCGATGGGCCCAAGACGGTTCCGAGAGGGCCCGCGGAGGATCCCGAGTGCCTCAGAGAGCTCCAGGAGGGGCCCATGATGAAGATCTACATTGTAGATTTTCGCATTGGGGCCCCAAGAAGGCTCCAAGAGGTGCCCCCGAGTGCCCCAGCAATGCCTCTATGAGCTCCAGGTGGGGCCCAATGTGAAGATCTACACTGTAGGTCTTCGCGATGGGGCCCCAACGGGGGAGGGCCCAGAGATGGCTCTAGAAGGGTCCCTCATGGCGAGAATAAAGCGAGGCCCCTTAGATGCACTGGTCAGTGAATTGCACCGCGACGTACCCAACCCACTCAATGCGTGCGGTAGTCTCAAGGGAAAAGAGACATCCCATCGTAATGGTGCAGATGCGCGCGTCCATCATACCATGCTCCTTGTTGCATGTGACTGTGCGCCTCAACCGGGTGCGGATGCGATGGGATGGGGATGGGGACGCGGTGGAAATGGGAGGGGGATGGTACCATTACCATGCGACCTTGCCCAGTCCCTGGCGCGAGCACCGCGGACTCGCGCCTCGTGGAGAGCAGAAGCCATCTAGGCAGCGGACCAGCCAAGCCCGCGCGATCTCGCTCTTTCGCACCCTTCTGGGAGGCACGGTTGCCACGCCACCTTTTCCGCCGACCGAAGAGGGTCGCCGACGGCGGCCGGCGTCGCCGCACTGGCGCGACCTCCGGTGCAGCTGCCGTGGCTTGTCGTTTGTGCCCGACGTGGGCCCCCGAGAGCTCTCCCGTGAGCCCCCCCCCCCAGGGAGTCTCCTGAGCCCGAGGCAGGCCTCTGGCTGTACCGAAAGAGCGAGGCCGACTCGACTTCATGCCCTTCCCAACGGTCCGTCGGCGGCGAGTGGTGGGGGAGAGGCGAGAGAAGGAGAAGGCCTTCTCAGAAGGCGGCGGGACTTCTCAGAAGCCCTCGCGCCTTCTGAGAAGCTTCCTTTGTGCGTCTTCGGGGAAGGCCCAGAACGCTTCTCAGAAGGCTGCATGCCTTCCGAGCCTTCTGAGAAGGCCCGCCCTCTTCTCACTTACCCCCCTCGCTCGCCGCCGACCTTCGTGGGGAAACCAAAAAATACCAATACCGCTACTCCCCGGACCTCTCCTGGGGTGCGTTCTGACCAGGATTTCGAGGCGAATCCAGCGGTGGCGACGACGGAGGCCCAGGAGGCCCAAAAATGGGAAAACGAGGGGAGGGTAGAGGTATGGGTACCTTTTCCTCCTCTGACTTCGGGGTTTGCGTGCCGTCCGCCTCTCCTCGAAGCGCGTGATGCGCCCGCTCTCGTCCGTGTCCACCAGCACCGCGCTGCGCACCTGCCGAACAAAAACGCGGGGCGGGGCGGGCGCCGCCGGGCCGCTCCGTCTCGGCGGCGGGGGGTGGCGGTCGCACGGGCGCTCGGAGCGGCAGCTGGGCAGAGGGCATGCGCGGGAGGGGCACGAGGCGACGCGCGGAGGAGGGAGCGAGGAGGGACGGAGGGAGGGGAAGGGAGGGACGGAGGGAGGAGGGACGGAGGGAGAAGGGAGGAGCGAGGAGGGAGGAGGGACGGAGAGAGGAGGAAGGACAAGGGACTCTTCACTGGACTGCTCACGTGGTGAGAGGCCCCTCAGACCGTGACCGCCCCGCCGCGAGAGCCACCAGCCCGAAGGGCCTATGGGCCAACGCAATCGGGGTCGGCGGGCCAGCATTCCCTGGCGGAGGCGCCTGGGGGTGTCCATCCTCTCTGGCCCCCAACCCACGAAGGGGAGACGAAAGAGGGGCACCCTCAGAGCGTGCAACTCTTCGGGTGCCGTGCTGCAGCCTCCGGCGCAGGAGCACGACAAGGGACTCCGGGAATCAGCAGACTGCGCTGCAGCACGAGTGAGGCGAGCAGCGGGCCGCGAGACAAGAAGACACCGCTCATGCCAGGCAGCTGCGAGGCGAAGCTTCAGAAGAGATCCAGCACACTGTCAACCGACTCTGATAGACGGGCTCTGCGCGGATGCGGGCGGAAGCAGTAAGGAGGGAGCAGGGCGAGGAGGCGGGACCCTCGAAGGCGCGGAAACAGAATCTGCTCTATCTGTATTGTGTTGTACTGTGTGTGCCGCCCTTCATCGGATTGGTCAACATACGAACTACTCGATAGAACTGCTTGTTCCCCACCCTCTTCGCTTCACGCGGGAGTGGGGGGGAAAACAAAACGGCCCTCCGCCTTTTTTACATAAGACGCGAATCCCCTGCAGCACCTCTGTTCCTCCGCCCTGCGACGCAGATGACAAATTCCCAAACCACCCGTGCTGGACCAAGGCCGTGTCCAGGCCCTGATCAACAATAAGAGTGGGGGCATTCGCTGCCCTGATACGCAACACGCGACACGTAGCGCATTGATACGGGGCTCCACACGTAGACTGAACACGTAGGTCTGATGCGATAAGTTCGCCACAACGTGGGCCAACACTCTGAACCAACACGCATGGTATTGTCAATAACGTTTTAACTATGGTACGCGTTGCGTCTCAGAACGAGCTTGTCGAGGCAACCAGGGTGGGACCACTCCCACCTCCTGATTGCTGGATCTCCGTTTCGATGTCCCTGCTCGGTGGAACCATTACTGCAGCATCACGGCAAATAAACATTGGCACGCTTCATATACAAACCACCAGCATGCTTGATACCATATTGACCCTTCGCTCAGGCCGAAAACGTCTGCCTCGCCACACTCCCTCTGCATCAATACCCGCACACAGGCAACACTACCCCCGAAGACGGCAGTTGGAGGACGAGGATGGGCGCGGACAGATAGAGGCGGGGGGGGGACATGTATTTGCGTGGGCGTGTCTGGTGGGCCTGAGGCCCGAGCAAGCCACATCCCGAATCGAGATCTGGCCAACTACTTTTCGACACTCGGTTCGACTTGACTCAATGGCTGAGCAGCTCCTCCTCCCACTTCTGCTCTGATGATGGTAGCCCCCTCCCTGCTGCTGCCAATATGCCTCTCGAGGGACGAAGAGGCCAGGGATGGAACCCCTGCTTAAACCTCGCTCATGGAAGCTCGGAGCAGTGAAAACAAGAATACTCAGGGAGGGAGGGAGGGGAAGAGTGTATGGAGAGAGGAGACGGGAGGACGCAGGGATGGCGGCGAGGGGGGCACGGAGGGACGCTGGAACATACACCAGTCCCCCCCTCTCCTCCTCTTCATTGCCCTCCTCGTCCTCCTCGTCCTCGTCCTCGTCCTCCTCCTCGCACCTCCTCCTCCTCCTCCTCCTCCTCCTCCTCCTCCTCCTCCTCGCAACTCCTCCTCCTCCTCCTTCTCCCCCCCTCCTCCTCCTCCTCCTCCTCCTCCTCCTCCTCCTCCTCCTCTCCTCCTCGCACTCCTCCTCCTCCTCCTCCTCCTCTCCTCCTCCTCTTCCTCCCCCTCCCTTGCCCCTCCTCCCTCCTCCCTCCGCCTCGCCCTCGTCGTCGTCCTCGACTTCGTCCTCCTCCTCGCCCTCGCCCTCGTCCTCATCCGCCTCCTCCTGCTTCTTGATGGCATGAGGGTGCGTCGCACGCTGCCGTTCCCTCCTCCTCCTCCTCCTCCTTCTCTTCCTCCTCCTCCCCTTTCTCCTCTTCCTCCTTTTCCTCCTCCTCCTCCTCTCCTCCTCCTCCCCCTCCTCCTCACCTGTCAGGGGCCACCCTCCTCAACTCGCCCTCGCTCCCCTCCGTTTCCGCCCCCGCCCCCCCCCCCCCGGGCGCCAGGCACCTCCAGGCGGCCGAAGTACCTCTGGCGCAGCTGCAGACAGACGACCCCTGGGGCGCCGCGGTCTCTGCGCTGATGACGATGATGATGAAGAGGAAGACGATGGTGATGCTGATGCTGCTGATGATGATGATGACGATGATGATGCTGCTGGTGATGCTGATGCTGCTGCTGATGCTGCTGATGATGCTGACGATGACGATGACGATGACGATACTGATGCTGCTGATGATGTTTACGCGAATTATGATGATGCTGCTGCTGATGATGCTGAGAATGCTAATGCTGATGCTGCTGCTGCTGATGACGACGACGATCATGCTGATGATGCTGATGATGATGCTGATGATGATGATGCTGATGATTCCGATGATACTGATGATGCTGATGATGAGGAGGAGGGTGATGAGGAGGAAGAGGACGATGATGATGATGCTGATGCTGAGGAGGAGGAGGAGAAGGAGGAGGAGGAGAAGGGAGAGAAGGAACGCGGAGAGGGAGGAGGAGGAGGAAGAGGAGGAGGGTGTGGTGGGACCAGCCTGGGGAGCCTGTGGGTCATCAGCGTCATGACGAACTCAAATTGCCATGCTGACCCCTGGCTCGCGCTGTCTGCGGCCGTATGCCGCTTGTGGGCCAGGGAGCGATCAACTGACCGCCGCTCCAGCGCACACTCATCAGAGCACTGGCGCATATGACTGAACCTCCTATTGGGGCACCAGGGGGACCCCGAGGAGGCGTGAGTCGAACGCACCCCGCATGATTTTCCTCACGAAGGGGCCCCAGCCCCTCAGGAAAAGAAGCACAAAACTGACTAGCTCACGATGGGTCGCCTGACGCTCTGTACTCACTGCCTTCAGTGTTAGAAACATCAGACTATTCAAAATAATCCAGAAGCCATGGGAGATTTTCAGAGTCGGTCCTGGACGAGGGATCCCCAGGAACAAGGAGGAGGAAAAGGAAGGACAGACACCAAACTCTAGGACTCCAGGGCTCTGGAAACTCTCTGGGTTTACAGATCTACTGATGGGCTCACTCTGAACCCCCTGGCTTTCCCAGAGGGTCCTCTCGAGCGCACACTCACTGCTCTCAGACGGGCTCACTCCTGCTGTTTGAGCTCCCCCATTTCGACGTGACGCTCGACGATCGTTCGGGCGTGCAGGCCACGCGCGGGGCCGCCCACCTTCCGCTCCACCTCGGGCCGCTGGCCGATGATCTTGACCAACTCGTCCACCGTCGACTGCAGCTGCGGCGGGGCCATGAGCTCGAATCGGTACCAGTCCTTCTTCCATTCTTTCTGGCGATAACTCTTCTTCGTGAAACCCGCGTGCACTTGCGGTTCCGACATCTTCATGTCTTTGACATTCTGGACGTGTTGCACCGACGACGGCTTCTGCGCTTCGGGAGTGGTCGCGTTCGTCGCCAGCGTCGTGCACATCTGGCACCATAACTGAATCCAACTCAAGATCTCGTTCTTCGGCTGGGCGTGTTGTTTGGCCATTCGCTTGATCATAGAAAGCATTGTACCACGATAGCTGGGCACGACGACACCAGTCCTGTGGGATACGTACTTGTAGTAGTGCTTGTTCTCGACGTCGGTTTTCAGCAAAACCAACAGTCTGTGGAGGTCGATTCGCATCATGGCGGTACCACATACCTGCAATATAAACTCTTCCACTCGGGCACAGAAGATGGATGACCCGTTCACCTGCGCATTTAGCTTTACCATGATTCTTGCCAATCCGCACGCCACTGCTAAACTGCCAAATCTGCAGAGTATGCTTAGCCACTCGTACATCAGTCAAAATGCAAGAAGCGAGACATCGGAACTCCTCGGGCCCCACCGTGTCACGATCATGGTCTTTCGCCCACTTCGGAAAAAAGTAAGGCGAGCCGCCAAACCTCTGAGGGAGCCGCCCTTGCTGGAACTGCGCGCCGACTTTTTAGTTGCGCTTGTGCTACCTCGGTGCCGGTGTGTAGTCTGCGTTGCGCTCGAAGTGCATCTGTCTGTGCTCGTGCTGCTTGTGAGTCGTCTTGGTCTGGCCATTTCCGCCACAGATCTGTACTGCTGAATACCTGCTGGCCCGCGTCGAGCAAGACCCGATTGTACTTATGCCAGGTATCCTCGACCCAGCCCTTCTGCATCAGAGACTGCACCTCACGACCACCTTCAGCCGACAATGACCAATCTAGTAGATGTTGAACAAAGCGATGAAGCTCATGAGTATCCTTCACCCACACACGAATCCAGAGATCGGTGTTCCACTTAGTCCTCGGAGTAGAAGACAACGTCTGATTCTCAGCAGGATTGTTCAACTCCACATCGACGACAAGAGGGAAATGATCGACGTTATGCGTGTCCCCCTTCGTGAGTTTAAATCGAAAACCTGAATACTGCCGAATTTCACACTTCTGAACTCTATGTAATGCAGCGAAAGGAATAGCCTTGTAACCATTGCGCGTGCCGATACGTTGTTGTGAATAGTACGTGCCAATGCATACATTGTGCGTGTTCTCTAAAGCCATGATATGCTGATTAAGTGTTCTTCTCATCCAGCTCCCTTGAGGGGTCTCTTTCTCTGAACAGCACCATCCTACATCGTCACCCCGATGAGGTAGAATCCAGCCCGTGTCATCCTGAAGGAGCCCCGGTTGGACATTTCCATCCATAAGAGACACATTCTGAACTACATCTTGTTCACCCTGAACGCTCGCCCGCCTCCTCTGTTGTTTGGTCCCCATGAGGCCGATGATGTCCGCCGAGCCGAGCTCTTCGATAATCTCATCTACGGAGCTAGTGACCCCTATCGCCTGCAGGTTGTCCTGAATACAGCGGGGTCTGCGATACATATTTGAAACCACTACCCATAAATAAAGCAATAATCTGATCCACCCAAGAGAGAAATCTAATACCATGGGCGCGCGCGCCGGAGGGCGCGCACGGTCGGAGTCGCTGGACCCTCGGTGCACAGCTGGCCGCTCTTGCCAGCACGCCCAGTTCTGGGCGAATTATTTCAGACGGGGCGGAGGCTCGGGCACCGCGGCGTCTGAAGAGGAGGAGGAGGAGGACGAGGAGGAGGAAGAGGAGGAGGAGAAAGGAGAAGAGGAAGAGGAGGCGGAGGAGGAGTAGTAGTAGGAGGAGGAGGGGGAGGAGGGGGAGCGGGAAGGAGGAGGAGGAGCGAGGAGCGTGAGGAAGCGAGGAGGAGCAGCGAGGAGGAGCGAGGAGGAGCTGTGAGGAGGAGCAGGAGCAGAGCAGGAGAGGAGGAGGAGGAGGAGGAGGAGGAGGAGAGGAGGAGGAGGATGAGGAGGAGTGAGGAGGATGAGGAGGAGGAGTGAGGAGGAGAAGAGGAGGAGGAGGAGGAAGAGTAGTAGTAGTAGCAGGAGGAGGGGGGAGGAGGGGGAGCGGGGAGGAGGAGGAGCGAGGAGCGTGGAGGAAGAGGAGGAGGAGGAGCAGTGAGGCGGAGCGAGGAGGAGCAGTGAGGAGGAGGAGCAGGAGCAGGAGCAGGAGGAGGAGGAGAAGGAGGAGGAGCAGCAGGAGGAGGAGGGGGAGGAGAGAGGAGGAGCTCTTGCTTGGCGTGCCGCGGCAGCGGCCCTGACGACACGCTGTGTCCTGCGAGCTGATGGCGTGTCGCTCCGCCTCGCGGGGCGGGAGGCCAGGGAAGGCCAGGACCGTCGATGCCTGGGGATTGGGACGTGCTCAGCGTGTCGCGCCGAATCGTGGCGGGCTAGCACCCGCGGCGCGACACGCTGAGCGAAGACTCCTGACCGTATGCTGAGTCTTCTCTTCCTCGAGGTAGGGCGTGATCGTGCCGATCCTCGCCTTCGGCTCCTCGGCCACGTCGCCGCTGCTCCGCCATCCTCGGCACACTGCGCGACCAATCGGAGCTTGGGAAGCGATGCTTCCACCGAGGAATTTGTGTGACATGCCATCCTCGTCGTCGTCGTCGTCGTCGTCATCCTCCTCCGATTCCATCTCCGAGACGGGCCAAGATGCCTTCAACAGGCCCCAAAAGGGCCACAAGCGGACCTCCACAAAGGTCCGAAGAAACCAACACACATTCATTTCTCTCTGGATGTTTACATGTTTCGGAATTCGAGCTTTTCTGGGCTTCCGTCAGCTCAAGTCGGCCCAAGAAGCCTCCATATATGACCCCAAGACAGCCCAAAGAGACCGCCAAGGGGGTACCAAGACAGCCCATGAGGACTCCGCGATGGCCCAAGAGGCATCCAAAATGGTCCCAAGGCCAGGGGAACAACAAGTGACATAAACATAAAAAAAACTCGGAGGTCCGCGCGGATTTCTCGGATCGGCGCTGGACCCCCCTCCCTGGCGCGCGGAACGCGCCAGGGGCGGCGCCGGAGGCGCCGCTGGGGGGCCCCAGCGCCGATCCGAGAAATCCGCGCGGACCTCTGAGTTTTTATGTTCATGCCACTGTTTGTTCCCCTAGCCTTGGGGCCATTTCGGATGCCTCCTGGGCCATCGCGGAGTCCTCATGGGCTGTCTTGGTACCCCCTTGGCGGTCTCTTTGGGCAGTCTTGGGGTCATATATGGAGGCTTCTTGGGCCGACTGCCTTAAACATGGCCCCAGGGCGGCTCACGAAGGCCTCCAAAAGACCCAATCAGGCGCGGCAGCCTCTTCAGGTCGGGGACCCTCGCGGGCGCGATCACTTTTTGTTCCCCTAAAAATGGCCCCAGGGCGGCTCAAGAAGGCCTCCCAAAGACCCTATCGGGCGCGGCAGCCTGTTCAGGGCGGGGGCCCTCGCGGGCGCAGGCCCGCCCTGCACGGCAGCCCTGGAGCCCCGGGCTCTCTGCGCGCCACCAGGGGCGAGCGGTCCTCCTGCTATTCCTTACCTCCCCTCCCTCGTCACCATCCACCTCCCCCTCCTCTATCCCCTCGTCCTCCTCGTCCTCCTCCTCCTCTTCCTCCTCCTCCTCCTCCGTCTCCTACTCCTACTCCTAGCCGTTTTGGCACCGACCCCCTGCGGCGCTGAGAGGGCGCGGCGGGCGATTGGGGCCACCGACTATCTCCACGCGATATCGGCTGGGATTGAA